ATGAATTTGTTGTGTCGCGTCCAGATGCTGCGTGGTAGGAGCGGTTGAAAGCGATGGGCAACTTTCAGATTGTCGAGTCGAATGAGCTCAGTGAGGACACGGTCATCCTGTTGACGTAGGAGTCGCTTGTGATGGTCAATGACCTCGTTGGCTGCCTTGACAGCCTCGTTGTATTCGTGGCGAGCAGAGAGGTACGCTTCTAGTGTAGCGCGGTCGGTGGCATTGGTTGCCTCGGGGTTGTGGGTTTTGAGTTTATTGAAGACATCGGTGGGGTTACTGAGGAGTAGCGTCAGCAAAGCGCTGTCGCCGACATGGGTGTGCTTAGGGGTGTAGATTGAGATCCTCTTTCCGCCTTCAGTTGAAGGGGCATTGAACTGGTCGAGGAACAGGAGGGTGGAAGACATGTTGATGCGAGTGGGGATGTAGCGACTGGGTAGAGCTGCTATCGATTCAGCTCAAGTCCTTCCTGTTCTTATACTCTGCCAACACTTCATCTGCCATCCCGGTTAGGTTCGCTTCGGGCTCCCATGAGTCATTGGCTGTTGAGTAACCCTTCCACCTGACGCGATATTCCCGGCGTCGCATCCTCTTGTTCTCTCGGTGTCCGATGAGGGCTTCGACTTCGTAGTTATCTTCGCCCTCGATAAGGTCAGGAGGTGGCCTCGTGTAGTTCGGACCATGGATCTCCGTCTCAGAGTAGGGAGATAGAAGCCATTCGTGGAAAACGGGGTGGACTCGCCAGGTGCTAGGGAGGTCTAGTTTGTACGCGACCATTCCGATCTTGTCTAGGACTTTGAACGGCCCTTCTCGCCTCGGGGCTAGTTTCCTGGACGGATACGGCAGCTTCAAGTTCCGGGAGTCTAGCCATACCAGCTGACCTTTACGGAAGGAACCCCCCTTCCTTTTTACTCTCTTGGCCAGGATGTTCTGTGCCATCTCCATTGCCGCATGTGCTTCCTCGCGGATGTTTTGCAAGTCCTTGAGGCGATAAGCCGCTTGCGGCGTGTTTGATCTGGGGTGCGCAGTGGGTATTCCACGAGGTTCGTATCCCATCATGAGTTTGAATGGGGACGTCTTCATCGTGGAATGCTCGCGGGAGTTGTGAGCAAATTGCGCGGTGTGAAGATGGTCAGCCCACTTATCCGGATCATTGGCAGTGAAGCAGCGGAGGTAGATCTCCAGCTCTTGGTTTACTCGTTCTGTCTCGCCATCGGTTTGCGGATGGAATGCCGTACTCATGGCTGATTGAACCCCAGTCATTTTGCAAAGTTCTTGGAAGACTTTGGACGCAAATTGCGGTCCTCGGTCGCTGATGATCTTGTCTGGGAGTCCAAACCACTTGTAGACCTCTCTGTACATTGTGTCTGCCGTCCCAAGAGCATCAATTGTTTTGTTGCATGGGATGAAAATTACCCCCTTCGTAAGGTCGTGGTCCACTACGACCAAAATTGAATCAAAGCCGTTGGACGGTGGCAAGTCGGTGATGTAATCGCACGAGAATGTGCTGAAGGGCTTGGCATTTGCATGGGGTCGAATGGGGGTGATGGGCGGACGGGCTGGATGCGTGTTAACCTTCATTTGCTGGCAGATGCCACAGCCGTTAACATAGCGGGCAACAAACTGGGCCATGCTCGGCCACCAGTAGTCACGGTGCAAGCCGAGGAGGGTTTTCTGAACACCAGGGTGTCCTGCGGAGGGGAGGTCGTGATAGTGGGAGACGAGACGTTTGCAAAGAGACTCATCTGGGGGTACATAGACCCAATCCTGGTATAAGAGGAGGTCGTCATCGATGGACCAGTCTGTTCCAGTGCATGGTGTTCCTTCAGTGCGCGCCGCAGTGAGGCCTTCCTTCATTATTGGGTCATCCTTAAAAGAAAGGATGGTGTCACGGGTGTCGATGTCGATGGCAGCGACCCATACTTCCGGTGGGAGCATAACGATGTCAGTGTTGTCATTAGAGCCGTCGTCATGGTCGGGTCGGTGGGAGAGAGTGTCGCTCTGCACCATTTGGGTACCAGGAACATGTACCAGGTGGAAGTCAAACTCGGTCAGTTTACTCGCCCAGTGTGCTTGTCGTCGGTTCATGTCTTTGGCTTGTTTCCAGTATGTGAGGTTCTTGTGGTCGCTGAGAATTGTTACTGGGTATGGGCTGCCGATGAGGTAGTGCTTCCACTCATCTAGTGCGCGGATGACCGCATATAACTCCCTGTCATAGATGTCGTAGTTTCTCTCTGCTGCATTGAAGCTTTGGGAGAGGTATCCGCAAGGATGCCAATCGCCGTTGTCATCACGTTGGCGTAGCACTGCTCCAGTTGCGAACTTTGAGGCGTCGGTTTCGATGGCGAAGGGTCGGTCGGGATCCGGCATACGTAGTACCGGTTCTTCTAGGAATGCCTTTTTGAGGGTCTCGAAGGCTTTCTGTTGGTCAGACCCCCAGGTCCAGGCGACGTCCTTCCGGGTGAGAGCAACCAGCGGTTGCGCTTTGTCCGAGAAGCCTTTGATAAACCGGCGGTAAAAGTTTCCAAATCCAACAAAGGCGCGTACTTGCCTGAGGTTGGACGGCACCGGCCAATCTGCAATGCCAGCTAGTTTGACGGGGTCCATTGCGATTTCTCCTGGGCGGATGATCATGCCGAGGAATTCGACTTCGGTGATGTCGAAGGCACATTTCTCCAGTTTGAGGTAGAGATCATGTTGTCGAAGTTGTTCGATAACACATCGTGTTCGTTCTTCATGTTCTGCCTTGTCCTGGGAAAAGATCAGGATGTCGTCCATGTAGATGCAGAGCCAGCCTTCTTGAAGCATGTCTGCAAATATTGTGTTCATCATCCACTGAAACGTAGCGGGGGAATTACACAGCCCAAAGAACATCACCGTGGGTTCGTACAGCTGCGGCAGTTTGCCATCAGTTCCGGGTACAATGAACGCCACCTTCCATTCGTCCCCTTTCTTGATTCGGACATTGTTGTATCCGGCGCAGAGGTCCATCTTCGTGAACACCTTGGCATGCTTCAACTTGTCGAGTAGATCCGATATAAGCAGGAGCGGGTATCGATCCTTGACTGTGTTCTCGTTGAGCAGCCGGTAGTCTTGACAGGGACATAGTGAACCGTCCTTTTTACCAACAAAGAAGAATGGACTCGCCAACGGGGATTTCGAAGGGCGAATGTACCCTTTACTCAGGTTCTTCTCGAGGAACTTGTCGAGTTCCTTTCGCTGCTGTGGGTTGAGCAGGTAAACCTGTTGCTTCATGTCCACGAAGCCCTCCTTGAGGTTGATTTCGTGGTCATATTCGGTATGGTTCAGAAGTCGCGCAGCGGTGCCTTTGTCGAAGACGGAGAGGAGATCGTGTAGGTAGGACAGTATCATCTGTGGTAGCGTTTTTTCTGTCTTGCCTTGGGCGTTCGAGGCTGCAAGTTCAGTGGATGTTGTGACTCGCCTAATGTCGTGGTGGATCTTCCAGATCATGCCATTGTGGAGTCGTTTGTAGCCGGACGAGAGTTCGGGGAGTCGCTCCTTGAGCGGAACATCCCTTACTGCCAGGGATTCCTGTTTCTCGTACTTGGTGATCATCGGTGTTCCTGATAAGTAGGAAATGATGAACTCATCGTCGTCGATGTCCTCTGCTTGTTCTTCGATGGACGCAATACCCGTTGACCCAAACCCATCCTCCCCGTGTTCCGTTTCGTTGATGCGGTCGGTTAGTGTTACTGGTGGGGTGTTTATCCTTTCAAGGATGAGCTGAGCAACTCGGTCGCCAGCTTTGACGGTGAACGGGAGCTCGGAGTTGTTGACCAGCAGGACTGAGACCTTGCCTCGGTAATCAGAGTCGATTACTTCTGCAGCAACATCAATTTCCTTTAGTGCTAGACCGGACCGAGGTGCGATTCTTCCGTAGTGTCCTTCAGGGATAGCCATGATAAGATCGGTGCCGACCAGGCCTCGTCGTCGGGCAGGGATGATGAGTTGATGCGCAGTAGAGATGTCATATCCTGCTGCGCCGCTAGTCTTTCGTTCGGGGAGGGTTGCGTGCTCCGAGGTGGAGATGACGACAAATTCGTCCTCCGTTGGTTCTGGGAGTGGGGTAGTTACGGCCTTCTTTAGTTCTAGCCGGGCCACTCGCCTTTGGTACAGGTCCATCTTCCAGGCCCTTGTCTTGTCTTTCATCCATCGGTGGTTTAGTTCAACTTGTCCGGTTTTCCAGTCTATCTTGGGGTTTTCGAGCTTGAGCCAGGTATGGCCGAAGATGATGTCTTCCTTGCCGATGCTGGCAACGTAGGCTTTGACAAATCGGGGTTCTCCGCTTATCTTGTAAGATAAGAGAGCTCTTCGCGTAATGAGTGCTTCTTTGTTTGGAGTTCCATCCACGTTGAAGACGGGGATGGGTCGGGGGAGAGGTTCTGTCCGAAGTCGATGCTCTCGGACGAATCTTGGGCTGATGAAGATTCCTGTTGCGCCGCTATTGATGAAAGCACGCGCCTCGACGTCTTTTTGTCCCACAGTAATCAGAATGTGCAGAGCGCGTTCATTTCGGACTACTAAAATTACACGGGACAGTGAAACGGATACGGGCAGTGGTTGCGTCGGCTCACCCTGCCCCTTCAAAAATCCTCCATCGTAAGTTCTTCGTACAGCTCCCGCTTCTCGTCAGCTGAGAGTGTCTTGATTCTGGCATGGAAGTCGTCCTTCCCAGATCCTCCCTGGTTCGGCCTCCCACCCCCTTGTCGTGCGGCCGCTTTCTTGTGGCAATCCTTGGCGCTGTGGCCCTTGATGTGGCAGTAGAAGCACAGGTTCCCGTCCCTGTGGAGCTTCCGATCGGCCTCGTTGAGAACGGCTCCTAGTTCCCATTTCCTTCCTTCCGATGTGAAGGTTGATGCGACGGCAGCGGTGTCGATATCCATTGGTTCGCCATAGTCCCTGGTGTCTGTGATGACGAGAGCCCCTTGCTTGGCTGCGTCGGTGTTTCGAACTTCATCGTACCAGGCCTTCATGGTGTTAGGTTAATCCCTAGCGACCCTTGTTGTGAGCGCAAAATACAACTCCTTCGGGAGTCCTTTGATGAAATTGGCGTGGAGAGTGTGGTAGTCGTTCTCGACGCGGTTGGTGCCATTGACCTCAGCGTCCTTGAGCTGAGCCTTTGATGCTAGCTGCTCGAAGCGGGTGACGTAGTTACCGAGGGAGAGCGCCGTCTTCCTATCCTTCTGTCGTTCAGGGAGTTTCATCAGGATTTGATGTGCCTTGATTCGCGTTCCGTGCTCAGGGAACGCCTCTTCTAGAGCGGCAACGAAGTCTGCCCAAGTGGAATAGACCTGGACTCCCCCTGCCGACTTCTCGTAATACGTGTCCGCCCATGTTTTCCCCAGATCCTTCCTCATCAGCGCTACGGTGAAGGCAATCTTTGCTTCATTGCTAAGTCGGGTGTTGTTGGTGGCGACAAAGTAGGAGAGGATGCATTGGATGAAGCGTCTGAGGTCCTCTGCCTTTCCGCTGAAGGGTTCAGGAGCAGGGATGTCGAGGCGAAGGGGTCGGTTGGCAGTTGACTGTTGGGATTGGTATGCTGCGAGGGCGACAGCGATGCGCTGATTGATGTCTTCTTGGGTGAACGTTGCCATAGGGACTTCAACCGGTGCGTTGGTTGGTGCGGGTGGGGCTGGTGGTAGTTCGATGTCTGGGATTTCGATGGGAACGTACTGAACTTCAGGGAGTTCGAGTGGTTGTTCGTTGATGGGTGACTGCACGCTTTCTGTTGCTTGTGTAGGTTCGACGTCGATCCGTAGGGTGGTGAATACATCTTCTGGGTGAGCGGGTGGGTGTCTCTGGTAGTAGCTAACGAGTTCTTGATGGGCGACGACCTGCGGGTTTGGACCTGTTGCACGACACCAGGTGCCGCCTCGAGGGTAGATGGGAGCTCTTTTTGTGGAGGTGACGAAGCAGCGATCTGCTCGGTCGTACTGGAGGAGCGGTGATCCTGCGAGGGCTGGTAGTCCCAAAGGAACTGGGTTGACTGCGTTGTTCGACGTGATGGTGGATGAGATGTTCGACTAGGTAAAACTAGGAACGTAGCTTAGAAAGTTCGACCTTTTGATACAACGGTCTATACTCCTATATCAATGCCTGACTCGTAGACGACGAGCGAGGGCTTATGGACAGTACATCGTCCTGAAGATCGAGCGAGGAAGTCGAGAATGACCACTACCCCAAGCGAGGAGGGGCAGAGACTTGAATGAATAACCAGGTCGAACTTAGGGTTCGACCGACTAATGGTATAGCTACTTATACAAGTACCGACTGCGCACGGACCATTGTGTCTATGTGGACGTGTTAGTGAAGAAAGAAACGTAGTGGTACGATGCCGAGTACGAAGTGCGCACGGATCCCATTATGTAAGCTACATAATGTTCAACCTGCGGGTGAGCGCTAAGACAGGCACCAGTATGGGCGCTAGTAGTACAAGGAATAGAACGGAAAGACAAATGTTTCAGCCATTATTTAATTCTTTCCTTTTCACGGGCTCGAACCCGCGACCTCTGTACTACATGCCTGATATGGACACATCGCTATCTACTGTATGATTAGATTAGATGAGGTGGCAGTGCACGGCACAGCTCGGGCCCCGCTGACACAGCCGCTCTGACTCACCGGCCCCGGGGCCGCATCAGCATGCTGTGCACGGACCCGCTGCACACGGACCAACACGCACAGCCTGCCCTTATCTTCCCCTGTATATAAGCAGGCCTCTGCTGCCCTAGGGACCTCAGTTTCGACCTCTTGTCCCTAGGTCAGTAAGCCACCCCTTGTACTCGTTTCTTACCTTACTAACTAATGCATTCACTTGTCCCTAGCCTTAGGTTTGAGCATTGCTCACCATTGCTTCGGTGAGACCCAGTCGAACGCCCCCAGCTTTTTAGGCTTCCCCTGTCGCTTGACCTCAAGTCGCGACAGGGATGGGACGACCAAACCAGAATGCATCCCGAGCAGCACAGGCACAAGGATAGCCTACCGAGCGCAATACAATACCCGAATCCTATAGGCCCTACTCCCATCCCCCTTCTTCCGCATTCCCCTACCCATTCTGCTCCCTCCTTCTGCCTAATCTTTACTTTACTTTACTGTCCACACTATAATACCTACCTATTGCATCCTAGTTATTCACCCTTGCACCCATGCTCCCTTTCCTCACCCTCACACAGTTCCTCACTTCAACAGTACAGTACTGCACCAATCGCACACCCACTGACCTCATCCCCCGTGTGACAGACCACTCGCGCAACCCCTAACGATGCACCAAGATAGCCCAAGATAGATTACTCCCTAGCGCTCTTATGTACATGCATGCAGTATCCGGCATAGGGCAGTGCACCCTCCAGCGGATATAAAACTGGATTTAAAAAAAAATGCTTACCGTCGCGAGGGAAGGGGTCTGCAAACCTCCTGACACTGACAGCGCCACAGGTGGTGGAGAGGGTACGGAATTGGAGGCGGATGGCACAGGCTTGGGTGAAGGTGCTGGAGACAGAAACGTCAGTAAAGAAATCGAAGACGAGAGTCAGGTCGAGGGTCTCAAGGACGAAGGGGATGATACCGATGGAGAGGCCGAGAGAGCGGAAGATGCTATCGAGATGAACGAGGACATGGGCGGACAATTGCAGGATGTTCCGGATGCTGAGTCCGAGCAACAAGAAGACGACAGCGAGGAACAAAACGATGAGGATTTGGACGAGCAGATAGGCGACCTTGATGCGCATGACCCTTCTGCTGTGGACGAGAAGCTATGGGGAGATGAAACTGGGCCGCAGGACTCCCAAGACGGAGGGAAGAGCAATCAAGATCACTCTACCACTGACGGGCCCTCGGAGATGACAGAGAAGGATGAAAGGAGCAATAAGAAGGATGCGAGACCGGAGCAGTCTGATGCCGCACCTCAGCCAGATGCGGAAGATGCGGATGGGGATGAAGAAGAAGAAATGGAACAGGACGGGAATC